CGACAATTGCTCACAGATTCGATATGGGGCGTTCCCTATTCCTTTAGCTCAAACAACTTTGTTGAGCCTGGTATCAATGCGCACATCTGGAGTCCCCATCTCCTTCATGGAAAATTTCTGGATTTCTTTGATTGCCCAAGGGGCATGTCTCTCGAAGCTCACACCATGGATGCGCTTGTGAATGTTGATGGTGTACTTCCGGGTCACCTCGTTGATGGCAGAGCAGCCCTTCTTCTTGCCACCCTTTGTGGGAGCCATTCTACCTGGCCTAAGCTGGAAAGCAGATTAGTTTATTTTTAACACCCATCATGACATGAATTCATAGAGAACAGGTTCCAGTAGCTCAGGCTCCTTTCCATTGGTTCTCACAAAGTGTGCTGCTCTGGGTGGAGCAGGCTGGCGCTTCAATTGAACCCAGGTACCTTTCTCTTTGGCTTCCTTCTTTTCCTGGTCATTTTCCTTCACGTGTTTTAGAAAGCTATCTCTGCTCTTAGAATGCTTTATATGCTCAGTACACACGTTAATTCTCTTGGCAAGAATCTTGCCCTTGTTTGCTTACAACTATGCCAACAGCATGCTGGGTAACATTGCAGACTCTTCCAGTTTTGCCATGGTAACATTTGTGGGGCATTCCTTTTTTGACAGTACTCATTCCCTTGATGTCTACAATGTCACCTTTCTCATAGATTTGCATATACGTTGCCAAAGAAACCACTCCATGTTTTCTGAAAGGCCTAGAGCACACATATCAGGTGCCTCTCCTCCTTTGCTTTGCGTTCATCATTTTGGTTAATTACTGGAAGATGGCGGTTCCGGCCAAAAGCCACTTTCCCGTCTTTCAATTGGATTGTTGATTTTTTTTTTTTTTTCGGATAAGCTGCTTGAGTTCTCCATATATTTTGGTTATCAGTGCCTTATCTGAAGCATCGTTTGCAAATATATTTCCCCATTCTGAGGGCTGTCTCTTCTAATAGAATTCTTAAAAAGAAAAATGCATTATTTACCGGGGGTCATGTACTACAATCTCTCTCCGCAGTTGTTTTTTAATATTCATAGCAAGCTTGGCTCTTCATCAGAGGACGAAAACCCTGACCTCTCTGACTTCAAGAGGCCGTGGAGGACACTGGAATGGCCCTGAATTAGCGTCAGAAGGCCCGAGGAGCAGTTTCTAAAATTAAATGGCAACTACAGGAATTGTAGGCATAGTGCTTAGGGAAGAATTGAGAGACCCAGAAGACTGACCTTGCAAAATCAAGCCTGTAAAGTATCAGCAAATACCACAACTCTTAATTTATGGCTCAGCAAAGAAGCACAGGGCGACTTAGTTATGCAGAGAGCAGACATCTAATAGTAAACGTTGGCTCCCCCAAATCTAAAGGACATTATATTGCCTTAAATAATATGTATTAAGAAATTTGGTGCTTGGGAACCAGCAGTTAGCGTAATGGCTATGTCGCTGGACTCCCATGTAGTCGACCGCGGTTCGCGTCCTGGACCCGGTGGCTTAAAACTCACGCTGGGTGCGTGTGCGTGCGTGCCCAAGATCCCAAGAGGAGAATGGAGGAGAAGGGATTGCGGCGTGACCATCCCCCCTGGGGGGTGATTTCTCGCTTTCTGTCTCTATGTCTCTCTCTGTCTGGTGAGCACATGCGCCTATAGCGAAAACCTCTCCAAAAAAAAAAAAATAAAAATAAATTTGGTGCTTAAAAGGATCTCCTCACAAAATGCCTGTCTTGGACGTACATGAACCAACTCTTAAGGAAGCTGCTGGGTGTTCGGAGCGACACTGGTCCCCTGTTCTTTCCACTTTCTTCTCCTTTTCCAGCCTCTGCGATGTCCTTCCAGAGAGAACTCGGTATGTGGTGTACTTGCCAGGCTTCACCTTCGGGGCCTTCTCTTCTTTCCTATCCCTGTCTTTGTCCTTGGGCTGTTTTGTCTGCACTTTGAATGGTGGCAGTCCTGTTGCAAGGTTGTCATAGATCCTATGACATCAGCCTCAGTAGGTGACTATGGGAACCGGAGTTAGAATTCTGAGGTTTTGCAAAGTACCTTGAACTCTTGATAAGGAATGTACTATTGAAAGGGGGCACATTCTCTTTAAAAATACATACAGTGGCAGAACGCTTTCTTGATTAAATGACATACTACAATTACGGCTTCCTATCTTAGATAAAATCAGGTGTTAATTTCCATCTGAACACAATATGCTTGGGTGGCATCATTTTACACACTTTTTCCTTTGTATAAAACAAGGTTGCTAAGCAAATTAATACTCAATTTAAAGCAAGCATAACTTGTTTATCATTTAAATTTATTGTCATGTACTACAGCTATTACAAAAATAAGGCAGAAACTCCTGGTGGCTTTGCAGAGCAGTGATGTGGGTGGTGAGGCCTCCATCCTGAGGAGGAACTGGGTGGTGGGCACTTCACTCACAGGCCTCCTCTGAGGCTGCTGTCCCAGCTGAGCTTTTAGGCCCATAAGCATGTCTTCTCCTGTGTGGTGAAGACAGGGAGCAGAGACGGGGGCCATCTCAGTGAGCTGGGAGGTCTGGGAAGAGGACGTGCGGTTTGCTTGGTGGTTTTTCATCTGTCAAGATGACTGGGATCTGGAGGACCGTGTTTCCTCTCATCACAAGTCCTACAGCCCAGGGACTGTCCCACGGCACTGCCCAGACTGCAGACTCAGAGGACAATGCCCTGACCCTACCAGAGGCTGAGGGGTTTCACATGATCCTTTGAAATATTTTGTTGTTGTTTTAGAGGAAAAGGAAGCAAATTAAAATCTTTGGAAAGTGGACCAGCAGATGGCACAGTGGTTACATCGCTAGACTTCCACATGGCCGACTGTGGATCAAGTCCTGGACCCAGAGGCTTGAAAATCATGCCAGGTGGATGTTGTGAGCGCCCAAATCTGGGAGGAGAATGGTGGAGAGGGGATTGGGAGGTGGTCATCCCCCAGGGAGGAGATTCCTCACTTTCCCTCTCAGTCTCTGTCTTCCCCCACCCAGGCACACACATCCCCAGGCAAAAACTTCTAAAGCAAAAAACAAAAACAAACAAATAAAAGCTTTGAAAACAAAGCAGCAAATCCCCTCTCCATACAGGAAGCAGGTATGGCTTGTTACCTACAAGAAGAACGGAATCATTCCGCCTTCTGAGAGAGACAGCTCCTCCCCCCCTCAGGCTGCCTCTCCCAGCGCCGGACAAGCTGAGACATCTCCTCCCACCCTCAGGCTGCCTCTCCCAGCGCCGGACAAGGCCAGGTCATCAGCTTGCCTCCTCTCTACCCTCTCTAGCCCGAGCAGCCTGCTCGTGGGATCCACAGATCTACAGCCGAGGCAGTGGGGGCTGGCTGCACAGGCCTCCAGACCTGCCAGCAGGGTCGGGCTTTCGGGAGCCATTTGGCCTCAGGAAGCTCCCATTTAATAGCCCCCCGCCCCCGTACCCCCTCCCAGATGAGGATAAGGAAACCACCGACCTCCCTCCAAAGCCTGCTGGAAGGCTGCTCAGCACAGGCTGCTCACATGTGGAAACCACATGAGAGTGCAGACAGGGTGGCCTTGTTTTTAACCTTCTGCAGAGCTCGGGTGACTGAGGATGGCAGATGGTGATAGACTCGGCCCCCTGCTCAAGGACATGGCGATTATGCGCTGTCTAGGCAGAAAAGCAAATGCCTCTTCTGTGCCTGTGAAAGAGACTAGGCTCCTCATCTAGACTGTGAAGAGGCCAGCGAGGGCAGAGTGTGACTGGAGGGACAGTGCCCCGGGGCCTCAGTGCCCATGGTTCTCATCAGGGCAGCCCTGGCAGCCATGTCCCTCAGAGAAGCTTCTTCCCCAGCTCGGGGACCAAACATGGATCACACAGACCCAAAGGAGATTTAAAAAAAAAATCAGAAATAGAGGCCAACAAGTAGCATGGTGGTTAAGGCACTGGGCTCACACATAGCCGACTCTGGTTCAAGTTCCAGACCTAGTGGCTTGAAAATCACGTGTGTGTGTGTGTGTGTGTGTGTGTGTGTAGGTGCACCTAAAATCCCAAGAGGAGAAGGAGTTGTGGCATGGACATCCCCCTTGAGGAGTGATTTCTCACTTTTCTTCTCTCTGGCAAGTACACAGGCCCTATTGATAAAAGTAAAGCAAAGCAAAGCAAAACAAAACAAAAACAACCAAACAAAAAACCCCCCAAAAAACAGAAACAAAGAGAAAGCATGTTTTTCATCTCACGTGGAATATGGTATTAATAAATTGGTCTCCTTTTTCTCCTACTAGTCTGGTCGAAGGAAGTAGGCTGCTTTTGAAGTTCTGCTTTTCTGTTCTCAGTGGTTAACACAGAGAAGATGAACTTGGTTTGTACTAGATTCCAACTTCATTCCAGCTACGGCTCAGAGGCCGATCCACGCAGAGCTCACGGGGTCTTCCTGAGAAGGGGCATTTTTTGTCTTTGAGAGCAAGACGCAGAGGCCATAAAGGTCAATATAAACTGCAGGCCACAGCGATGGTGAGGCCATGGGCCCTCTGAGGCACCCCCCTGCCCCCAGACCCCACACTTCATTTCCTTGTTAATTCCTGCCTCAATTTATCACTGATATTCCTTAATGTTAGAATCACACACACAAAGACAAAAACCAAATGTTGAACATGCAAAAAAAAAAAATAAATAAAAATAAAAAAAGATTGCACTGGGCCAGCAGGTGGCATAGCACTTAAGATTTCCACATGGCTGACTCCATGGTTTGAGTCCCAGACCCAGTGGTTTGAAAATCATGCCAAAAGAGTGTGCGTGTGCACCCAAAATCCCAAGAGGAGACTGAAGGAGCGGGACTGCGGCATGGCCATCCGTCCTGGGGGGTGATTTCTCTCTTTCTCTCCAGTGAGCACACGTGCCCTATAGCAAAAACAAACAAACTAAAAAGTGTGTCCTATTGACGTGTTATGTATCTAAGGCATCGAGATCCTGGGAAAGCTCTAGATTTTTTTGGTTTAGAAATAAAGTTCCATGTTGAATAACAAGTTTTTATGGTTTTTAATGTGGTGTGCCCCCAAGCCCCACCCCTTGCGCTACAATCTAAGCTGAGTGATATGCTGCCAACCGGCACCAATTCTCTGAATGTGCCAGAGAAACACACACGCGTACTCTTCCTTAATAGAAGACACACCGGGCGATCTGTCTACTGCCATTCCCCAGAAATAGTGACTAGAGGGCTGCGAGGCTGGAGGGAGGCCAGGGCAGAGGCCACGCTGCCCTCAGTCAGAGTCCATTGTGAACAGCTGGATGTCCTGCGGGTTCCAGTACAGGCCTGCTGCTGAGTTGTAGACGAGAGACCAGACGTAGGGGATAAAGAACTCCTCCGGCTGTTCCTCTTCCACATACTTGAATTTCAGTTCTGGAAATTTCTGCAAAGAAAACAAGACTTTTATAACCCACAGTTCCGTGCACAAGCAGAAGCGGTGGTGGCTTGTGGGTGCTGCCATGTGCAGGAGCCCGCTGCCTTCAGCTGGTCATGGGCGGGACGGTTCTGGGGCTTTGGTTACCAAGGATTCCTGAGAAAATGTGAGTTACATGCAAGAAGAGCGAGTGACACAAAGGGGCCTGGGTGGGAGCTGTCAGCTTGGCGGACAGTCTGCTGAGTGGGGACCAAAGCAGGCAGAGGAAAGACGGGGACCTCAGAACTGACAGACCCTGCGCGGGGTGGTAGAGGAGGCAGGGCTGCTGCTTCTTGAGAGATGCCATCTTTGGGGTTCAGTCGTTTGGAGGTGAGGACTCCCCTCAGGGTGCCTGAGCCTCAGGCTGAGGACACAGGCACTGCTTAGGGCTGGTGACTTCTGTCCTGGGTGGAGTAGGGAGCGGTGTGTGGGGGGGTAAGGATCCTACGAGGAGGGGTGTGGCAGGAGGTTGAGGGGGGCCTAAAGAGAGGACAGAAGGCCATGGCACACATCCACACACACCCAGAGCTACACTTCTACGTTGTACCAGAACACACGGCTCACAAGGCCCGACGGAGCTGTACTTGCTGTCCGCTGCTGTATACACATGGGTTGTGGCCGGGGCACTTAATGAGTTATTTGATGAATGAATGAATGAAACCAACACATATTGAGATCGGCCATGTCCCAGACACGCGAGCAGATGCTTTCTGTACATTCTCTTCTCTAAACCTTCTTGTGTGAGTCCATGCATTCCTTCTGGGGCTTGCTGCTTGGCGCCAGGCAGGCCTGGGGATTCAGGGCTGCAGCCACACAGTTTCTGTCCTCAGGAAAAGTGTATTCTCATAGAAGGGAGTGAGGAACAGCAGCAGCAGGAACGGTGACACAATTAGAACTGAGTGGTGGGGGAGGACAAGATCCTCTGGAGGCCCGAGGGTGGAGGAGGCATCAGCCAGATGAAGAGGAACATATGCGCCTCCAGTGGGGGCTCCCTGAGGGAAGGTCCGTGTCTGAGCGACTGGGTACACAACTGCTGGGGGCAACAGAGGGTGTGGTGAGCACAAACTGGGGAGCAGGGGCCAAACACACAAGCCACACGGGGACCCCCGGACTCTGTGTGAAGGCCTTGGAAGCCTTTGATGGGACTGAAGGGCACGCCATGATGAGTGGCACTATGCAGTGGCCATTCAGGTCACACACACAGTGATAGGAATTTTAAAATAACATTGTACAATAATTAAGACTAAAAATATCTAAGCGCTGAATCCTCAGAGTTCCAGAATGATCAGAGAGGAGCAGGATTAAACAGGAAATCTTTGTAGCAAGGCGAGTTGAGTTGTATCTTCCAAAAGTGCTAGAAACTCCTAAAAAGGAGAGCATTCTGGTCACTGAGACCACCGACAGCACAGCTTCTGTGTGTCGTGGCTTCGAGAAAGCCGACCCCCGACCTCATGGTTCCCAGAGCGTTACATAAATACAGGTACATGCGAATGGGTTTTGGAAGTGGGCGAACTGCAGCGTTACCTTCCCCACCCCCCAGGCCCTCCTGCTCGCCCTCCACCACTCAGTGCTTTCCCCTTTCCAAAACTTCTCTGGCTTAACGGAAACCCAAGCCTTTCAGGTGTGCGGTGTTTCTGATCAGGTCTTGTCGTCTCCAAGCAGGCCAGAAGCACAGGTGGCCGTATGCTGCCAGCACTGCGCCGGACGGTGATTTGCAGGGCGACTTTAATGGGGCTCTTCAGGTCAGTCTGGCTGACAAAGTGCATGTGGCAGTACTTCAGCACTAGCTGACACAGATGGGGTTCAGCCCGGCCCCTAGTTTTCCATTCCTGTTGTCTACTCAGAAGTCCCCTAGCCCTCCCGTGGTGAGCCAGCATTCTCTGGGTGCATCGTAGCTACTCAGCAACTGGGGTCTCCTGGGGGCCTGGTGTCTTTAGCATCGTTGGTGAGCATCTTTACACACTCTGGTGCTTCTGGCCTGGCATAGCCAGGTGTGGGGACACAGGGTGCTTGAGGGTGTCACCGTCTTTGAGATGGACCAGGCATACTACAGGTGCTAACACAATGTGATTCTCCATGGACACCTGTCTCTGTGGCAACAGGGTGCAGTCGGCAGCTGCCACCAACCAGCACTGGCTGCACGCCACATACAGGGAAGGCCCCCCCACAGCCTCCTGGTCAGCTCCACAATGTCCTCTGAGGTGGCACCAACAACTCCACAAACAGAAGGTAGAGCGAGGCTCCGACAGGCTCAGCACCTGGTTCCAGGCCACAGAGCCTGCCTGGGCGGGGTCGGGTTTAGAGCAGAGGTCTGACTGAATGCGCAGGGTCACTTTGAAAGGAGACATTGGACTTCTAGCCATCCTGTCCTAGTCCTTAAATCTGACTCTTTGAGGTGCCATGAAACTCTTAGGGTTAGTTCTGTGCCCTGTCAGCACAGAACCCAGCCCATTACTGTGCTTTATGGAAGAACCCCAAAACCAGGGTGATAATCAAGAAAGGACGGGAACTCTGAAGCAGAGGAACATACCCAAGAAGAGGGGGGATGGAAGTCCTGGTTCTTAGAATGGCCTCCACTGTGAGAAGCCCTCACGCATGGACTCAGAGGGAAGTGAGGGTTAGGAAGGTGTGCACCCCCAAATCACCTCTCTCGTTGGATAATAACATCCTGTATTTCTATGTGGTAATGCAGCCATTAAAACACACTTCTTGTTACTAGCAATAAAAATGACTCAAAGATGGGAATCTCCTGTCCATCCAGTGACATAGCTGGGGTTTTCCCAAGCAGGTCTGAGGGAAGGATGTGAGGCAAGCTGTGGGGCTCGCTGCGCCCGCTGCTCTGAGGAGGCTCGCTGGGAACAGTGAGCAAACTTGAGGCTGCTCCCCTGAGAATTCCCTCCAGCTGAGCTACAGATACTTGAGCAAGAGCAGTCCCAAGTTTACGGGCTGCCCTCGTGGCTTTGGGGAAATTCTAATGACTGTTCATCAGAAAGAGTCATGAGCTAAAGACTGCCCTTCGATCTTGCAAGATGGGTCTGGGAAAAGCACCTGGCACCTCACACCAATTCTTCCCACCGCCGGGTAAAAACAGGCAGAAGTGCCTCCAATTTATGCCGAAACGATAATCCATCTCACCCTCGACGAAGGCATGGGAGAATGTCTGGCAATATGCAGACCTTTCCTTTAACCTGAAAGTAAACGATGTGACAAGTGATAACCACGGCTTCCAGGTGGTGTAAATACAATTCCGGTGTCGGCGATGCCTGGCGTGGCAAGAACGCCCAGTACACATATGTGGCAGCACGCAAAACAGCATGGTCAGTGTGAACGCTGTCAACTGAGGATGCGGGGAGACTATATCGTAAAGCTATCATTACTTCTTAAAGTGAGAGAGAGATGGAGAGAGAGAGAGCAATCTCTGACAGGGAGTCATCACGCTGAGGTCCTCCCACCCCAGACTCCCAGCTAGCTAGGACTACAGCCATGTGACTGCCTGGCACATGGAGGTCGGTCTGCACCCAAATCCAGGCTTCCCCTGGCTCCAGCATCATGCCGCAGCACCTTACCGCCTGTGGCACTGCACCTGGGCCCATACTCACTCTTCACGCCCATCAATTATTATTTCTATCAAAGTTCACCATAAAAATGTAATAATCCAATCCAAGATTATAGCTAACATGACTTACTCGTGACAGGCATATTCAATACGTTTTTCACACATTTAATCTTTTCTTTTTTTTTTCTTTTTAATTTGCTATAGGATGCATATATTCATTGGAGAGAGAGGAAGAAGAGAGAGGAGCCCCCCTTTCTTGGGGGGTGATGAGATGACCGTGCCACAATCCCTTCTCCATTTCTCCTGTCACATATGGGAGACAGCCAGGTGGTGCTGTGGTTAAGGCAGTGGGGTCCCACATGGTCAAGTGCATGGACCTAGTGGCTTGGAAAACACGCTAGAGGTATGTGTGTGTTTGTGTGTGTGTGTGCATGCACCCAGAATCTCCAGAGGAGAGTGGGAGAGAAGGGATTGAGGCATGGCCATCTCCTGTGGTGGGGGAGGGGGTGATTTCTCACTTTCTCTCTGTCTCTGGTGAGCATGTGCACCTCTCAGTAAAAGAGATAGAGGTAGAGAAAGAAAGAAAAGAGAAGAAAAAAGAAAAGAAAGGAAGAGAAAAGAAAAGAAAGGAAAAGAGAGAAAGGAAGGGTAAGCATCAGGGAGGTAGGCAGGGAACAGTTTTAGCCTCATCTTTTTTCTTTTTTTTTGGAGAAGTTTTCACTATAGGCCAGACAGAAAGAGACATAGAGACAGAAAGCGAGAAATCACCCCCCAGGGGGGATGGTCACGCAGAAATCCCTTCTCCTCCATTCTCCTCTCGGGATCTTGGGCACGCACGCACACGCGCCCAGCATGAGTTTTAAGCCACCGGGTCTGGGACGTGAACTGCGGTTGACTACGTGGGAGTCCAGCGACATAGCCATTACGCTAACTGCTGGTCCCAGCCTCATCTTTTTTTATCCATTCATTTCATTCAGCAAACATCTGCAGAAGGCTGACCATGTAATAAACACAGGGCTAAAACCATAACTGTGACAAAGACTCACATGGCCCAGCACTGAAGAGCTGAAGTCCAGATCTTTTTAGCTGGGAGGCTTTCTTTCCTTTTTTTTTTTTTTTTAAAGAATTATTTATTTAATTTTATTTATTATTACTGTTATTTTTATTTTTAATTTGACCAGGAGAGAGAGAGAGAGAGAAAGAGAGAGAGAGAGAGGAAAGTGAGAAAGCAAGCCGCCAGGTCCAGGACTTGGACCACTGTTGGCCATGTGGGAGTCCAGTGCCTCAACCACTACCCCGTGTGCTGGCCCCAGCTGGGAGACTTCCCACAAATCTTGTCCCCTGGTTCGATTTGGGTTCTTAAAAAATGATGTTTACTATACTCTGAGATTTTAAACTTTACCCTCCTGCCCAC